CATTTGGTCAGTTCTCCCTTTTTAGGGGTGTCATCTAGCCCACCTCCCCTCATCCCTCTCATTTTCTCTCATTTTACAGAAGGTATCTGTCATATTTGACTGTCTTCAGCCTAAAATCCTAAATAAATTTGCTCCTTTTATTTAAGTAGCTCATTCGAGTTACTCGGCTTCATCCTTGGTTTGACGTGGATAACATCTAAACCACAAACAGCCTTTGTTTTGCTGTTTTCATTCAAACCAAACCCAGATCAACAGAATGTGGCCTGAAAACTGGTGGATGATCAGCTCCCAGCATCCTGCGGCGGTACCTGGATATCGGCGGCGTCGGCCTGGCCGGAGCCCAGCCTCTGGGCCGGGTTCTTCTTCAGCAGCTGGAAGCAGACACAGCCAACAGGTCAAACCCAAATGCACCTGTTGTCTCTTAAAGAAGCTCAAACCTTATTTTATGTAACACCAGGAAAACTGAATAGATATGACTGAAATGTGGGTTTGAAGTGGAATAACGCCAAAGAAACACTGTTCCACTTGAGGTGGGACAGAAACTGAGTTTACAAAGAGTAAGCAGGTAGTGATAAATATAATTATAAAGCTTTTTTTAAGCTTTATAACCCCAATCTGGTGCCCTGGTGTGTCACCTCTGGAATAGATCACCAGCTCTAGGAAGGGAAAATTGTTAATATTTGAAAAATGAGGGGATCTTTCAAATGTTTTGTGGAAATAAATTGGATTAAACAAACATCCTAGAGATGACTTCAGGATGATTAGTATATATTTGTAAATCCAAAATTCATATCTAGGAAGTTTGGATACATACATATTTTTCTGTTTGTTCATTTAGAAAAAATATTCATTTGATGTTCTCGTTTCTGTTCATATGTTGTTTTCTTGTCGTTTTTTGTGGGATATAATTTAGCTGCCGGGCGCTTTAACCAAGATGCTGTAGCTCTGTTACATTGGCCCTTAAATCAATAAGCTCCCTGATCTAGAGGCTGAACCCTGAGCCAGTAACAAACCTTCTTGATGAGGTCCCTGGCATCGATGGTCAGATATGGCGGCAGGTTGATCTTACACTTCAGGATCTTGTCGATGGTCTTCTTCCTGTTTTCGGCGGTGAAAGGAGGCTGGTGGAAGATCAGAGCAGTCAGAGGCAGCTGGGGGCCGTTTATGGCTCCTTTTAAAGGGCCTTTTGTTATTTATCTTTTGTCTTTAAAGCTTATCAAACTTTCCCTTTTAGAAAATGTCTTTTTCAGGACTGAAATCTGATGATAAATTCATGTTCATTCAGTCCTCAGCCCGCGTTCAGTTGTTCTTTTATTTCTAACTTCCGACTCTTTTCAATTAGAATTCAGTTTTTGGGGCTTTTCAAAACAATTTGGCACATTCCCATTGTTCCTCGTTTTAATCTATTCGTCTGGATTTTCAAAAGAAAAAAAAGAAAACTTTCCCATTTGCTAAATTTCTTTTTCAGGACAGAATGATAAATTCATGTTGATTCAGTCATCTGCCTGCATTCAGTTGATTCATACATTTAAATTAGAAAGCAGGTTTTCTGGCTTTTTTTAAAGCCATTTTCCCTCTTTTTATTTATTCATCTGGATTTTTAGCCACTTCCAGGTTTAAAAGTCAATATTTTCTCCTCGCCAGCTGTGAAAATGTCTGATTTCCAGATATTTGGGTCATTTTATTTTGTGGAAAACTGGTCCCAGTCCCAGGATTTCTTGCAGAACTCACTACGAGTGTGTGTGTGTGTGTGTGTGTGTGTGTGGGGGGTTTCTTACCGATCCGGTCATCATGTCGTACATCAGCGCCCCCAGGCTCCACCAGTCCACGGCTCTGTTGTGGCCCAACCGGGTCAGGATCTCTGGGGCCCTGGAGGGAAAATGGGGGGGGGGGGGGGGCACAGAGAGGAAAAACCCAGACAGGAAACCATGAACTGCATCCGTCCCAGTAACACTCCCAGTCTGAGCGCACATGTATTCGATGGTGCCGCAGAAGGTGTGCGTGACGCTGCCGTCGTGGATGGACTCCTTACAGAGGCCGAAGTCGGTCAGCTTGATGTGGCCTTCAAAGACAGAAGGAGAGGAGAGAATCAGAGGAGACTATCTGTCACAAACGCACAGGAAAAAACAAGAACGGCTCAGAACTTCTGATCCAGCCAGAGAACATTTCTGGAAACATTTAAGCCCCTTTTTTTAAACCAGCTTTGAGCCAAAAAACAGACATAATTTTACACAGATTTTGAACTCACTGGAGGAAAGTTGTTCTATGCGCCCCAGAGCTAAATAAAACTATGTTCAGATGATTTTTTCTAATTTTAACTTTCTTTATTGGAAGCAATTTCAGCAGTGAAGTGAAGTATAACAGGAAGATTTTCCATTCTATGTTATTTTTCCAGGTTTTCTTTCCATCCCAACAAAGAATGGCTGCCAATGTGAAGGCGTGTCAAAAACAGAAATAAGGAAAGTAGAAGGATTCGATGTTCTTAAAGGGCTCCGTTAGCACAATCATGCAGAGGTGTTAAAGATTCAGGGAAAGTTCAGAGAGGTCTGCGAGTCTTTTCAAACGAAACTAAGGAGACTTTGAGGGAAAAATCAGATCTTTTTTATCTTAAATGTCAGAAAAACCTCTTTCATCCATCCTGCCCCCCTCTCTCAGAGCAATCCAACCTCTAACTCTGCTCATCTATTTACTCATTCTGCCTTAACCCCGAGTCTCTGCGAGTCAGTTTGGAGGAAATTATCTGCTGAACGGGTTGGATGGAGCGGACCTCCAGAGGCGGTTACCTTGGTGATTGAGCATTATGTTCTCCGGTTTCAGGTCTCTGTAGATGATGCCGTTGGAGTGGAGGTGACCCAGAGCCATTGTGATCTCTCCCAGGTAGAAACTAAACAAAAGCAGAGTCCAGTGAGTCCTTAACCCCCCCGTTTCCTGCCCCCTTCTGTCCTCCCAGGGCAACCTGACCCTCAGACAACAAGTTAAAAGCCTCCAGACCGCTATCAAGTCTAAGCCTGTCAATTGATCCCAAAGAATGGGAGGGCATTCTTAAAAGTTTCAATAAAAATAAAGATTCATAAGAAGGCTCCATACCAGGCTGTGTCCTCCAAGAAGATGCCCTCCTTCTCCAGCTGCATGAACAGCTCCCCCCCTGGGGAAAAACAAGGGCTCAGAGGCTGCTCCCCTCTTAAAACGAGCAGATTTGTGCATAATCCACCCCCCTCCCTTTACCACTCAGACACTCCAGGATGAGGTAGAGCTTTCCTCCGGTCTGGAAGGCGTACAGCAGGTCCACGATGAACGGGTGCCTCACAGTCTCCAGGATCTCGCGCTCGGCTCGCGTGTGCGCCGTGTCTTTGGCGTTGCAGACGATCTTAGCCTGAAAGACAAAGAGCCTGTAGCGACGCAACATGGTGAAACTGGGAAAGGAACAGAACATGTACCTTTTTCAGGACTTTCATGGCAAATATTTTCCCGGTCTGAGCACCCTGAACCTTCCTGACCTGGAAAACCTTTGAGAAAGACAGAAAGAGGGTTGTTTTTTTTTAATAAACAGCACAATGAGGTGAAAGTTGACATTTCTGAGAGGCAGAAGGCAGACGCACACCTTGCCATAGGCTCCTTTTCCCAGAACTGTGAGCAGCTCAAAGCAGTCGGGTCCGACTCGCTCGCTGTCCCTGTTCACACTCTCGCTGGTCAGCTCCACCTCCTCCGTCTGGACACTGGAAAAGCAGCAGGAACCGATCAGATATGCAGGATTACATCGCAATTCTGATTTATTCAAGGCAGCTTTCACAACACTGAAGCAGGAAAAACAGTCAAACCCCCCAAAAACCATTCAAATGAAAGAAGTTCTAAAGTTTAGCACATTGAAAATGGATCAAAGCGCTTTTAAAGCCATCTAAAAAGACAAAAACACATTCATCTGGGAATGAAAACCACAAAAACACAGCGATTCTAAAGGGACTTTTGGTTGGAACCAAAAATAAGGGAACTAAAACCCTTAAGTTAAGGCTATGAAGCAGGATGGATGGATTCTTTTCAATGTTATGTGGTGGAAATATGCAGCCACACTCCTGGATGAGGTTTATGGATGAGGCTTAACTGAACTTACTTGTCAGGCTCTGCCACAGTGAAGGCACAGTCATCCTCCTACAGACAAAAGAGCAAAGCAAAGAGGTTAGAGAAGCGCAGAGGCTCCATCAAAGAGCCCCGTAGGCTTTACAAACCTCTGTGTCGCTGATGTCCTCAGTCTCCAAGTCGATGTCAAACACTCCTGCCATCCTGTGAGAACATGATTACTATCATTATCACACACAAATATGTAGTTATGCTGAGCCTTTTTACTGTTAAAATGATGAGTATTACAGGTAACAAAACTCTGTCTGACTTTCCTTTACTAAGGTACGAGAGCAGATAATGAGTTGGCAAATGTATTTTACAGTAATATACAAAACATAAATGAGATACTGCGTAACACAAACAAGATTTTTTTTGGCATTTTAATAAATTCTGCAAATAAATGACCATAACCTCATCAGACTTGTTAAAACGACACGAATAATCAATATTACGGTATTTATCCACTAAGAAAAGTTATCAGATAAGCAGAAATATTTGTGGCAAAAATAAAAAAACCGGGAAATAGTTTCACGTTCATCTCAACTTTTTTACGTTAGCATACCCTCGAACCAATTCAGGCGGAGGATAAAATTATCTCCGATATATCAAATCATTGAATAAATGCTTCCTGGCGGCGTTTCAGGGCTGAAAACACGTACTCCCGGTTCCAAACGTGAGTCACTACAGCTGGTTTGACAGCTGCGAAGCTAAAGCAAACATGCTAATGCTAATGCTAACGCTAGCTAGCGCCTCACCTGAGAGCGCGCCGTCATCCGGTGACACTTCCTGCTGTTATCACTCCGACAGGCGAAGAGAAGCGGGGCTCAAAAGCAACCGGCGGAGGCTGCCATCACCTGTAAACCAACTGAGAAGGACACAGAAATATGTGGGGAATCCCTTCTTTCCCATCCGGGCAACAGGAAGCGGCTGAGTGGTTCTTCTTCCTTACTTCCGGCTTGCTTTTCTTCTTCGTTGGTTTTGGGGTTATCGTGTGTGCCATCTACTGGACGACGGGTAGGGCCCTTCGTTTTTTCATGGATAGGATAAATAGACAATTCAACGAGTATTCAGAAGTAAAAAAGATACAATTAAATGCTTCGAGGGGGGTGAACTGAGTTTGTTTAACCCTGATTTACTTTTCAACTCTCTTTTAAAATACTTTTGTGTCCAGATCTTGAAACGCCCCATAAATCCCAAATGATGATATTCTAGAGTTGGATTTTTGGTGCTTGTTCTGAATTACATCTGTTGTTAACAGAGTGTATGGTACATCTTTAATAACCATTGGTATCATTGGGTCTTTTTTAGGGAGGCTTTAGCCCCCCTGGAGGCCATCCCATATATTAATATTTATATAAATGTTGGTTTTAATGGTGGCTCTGTCTACAGAGATGCCTGATAGATTAATCTATTAGTTAGAGTAGTTTTGTTCCTTTTCCCTTTGAGTGAGATGGATTTCTGGAATTTTGCTTCTCTAGACCTGCAGAAGGACTGATTTTGATACTGGCCTGTGAGTACCCATCTAACCACCTTCCTCTTTCTGGGGGGAAGTTACAGAGAATCTCCCAAATCCAACATCTTACTGTTAGATAATTTCACATCCTTTTAATTGTTTGTTTCATTAGTTCTCACCAGCTAAAGTCTGGTTTGGGCTTCTTGTCTCTATTTTCTCATTGTGAGGATGAGGCTGTTGTTAAGTGTGAAGGTAAGTGTAAGTTTTGTGGTTTGTACTTCCTGTTAAATGACACCATCAGACTCACTGAGGACCATTAACTTTTTAAATTTCACACAAAGCATCTTTAGTGTCTGGCCAACACTCTTAAAAAAAGCTAAAAAATACCAAAAATACTTTTAAACAGCTAAGATTCAGGAAATCAGGTCACAAAAGAGCACAAATCTGGCCTAAAATTCAAACTTAATCTGCTGTAATGAAGAAGTAAAACAGAGTAACATGAAGTCTGAGCTCAGGTAAAGAGCATAAAGAACAGGGTGGCTCTTAATAGCTGAAGCCAAAGGACCTGCTGGGTTTTCTGGTTTAGGGGACTTTCACATACTTTCACAAGTGGGTGCTCAGTGGAAACATTGGCTGGAGGTAAAAGGAAGTTGGTGTGGTCTGTTCAAACCAAAACGTCACTCAAGCACAGAAAGGATAAAAACACAAGATGGAGACTCACAGGATGGAGAGGATTCTTTTCTGTGAGTACTGAATTACTCTTATTTAAGACCAAGATTTAAGGCAGGAAACAGTTTAAATGTGATTCAAACTTAAAGTTAATGGGTCAAACAGGACAAAGAGACTTACATGTGAAGTTTGGATGAAAAATATCACACTCTGCCATTTGTGTTTGAAAGGAAATGACTAAAGAATCAGGATGGACAGAAACCATGAAACAGGAATGAAACCAGCTGCTAACTCAGGTTGATTAGCGTAAACCTAGGAGAAAAGTCAGCGACAGAAAACACATGTGAGATAAGAGAGAACATGAGGGGGCACGAATCAGATCCATGAGGGACTCCACAGCTTTATTAAAAGTCCAGTTAATGTACTCCAGGAAAACAATGAGTCCACGACAAGTCTGAAATCCAGAAAGCCACAAAGTTCACAAAAGGTTTCTAAATTTCTGTCCGATGCTAAGTTTTGCTAGCATGCTTGCATGCCTGCATTACAATAAAAATCGTATATTTACCTCAAAGAACAATAACAAGGTTTTAGAGCCACCCAAATGAAGGTCTGAGGCTTTAGAGGACCAGAACAAGGTTTTTAGAGCCCCCCCCAGGCAGGTCTGAGGCTTTAGAGGACCAGAACCAGGTTTTTAGAGCCCCCCCCATGCAGGTCTGATGCTTTAGACGACCAGAACCAGGTTTTTGGAGCAGAGGAATGCCGTTTTAGCTGTTTACAGACTGGATTTAGGAGCTGGCTGTTATTTAAACTTCATATTGAGTTAAATGAAGGAAAGAAAAAGGAAATAGAAGAAAATGTCTGATTGCTTGAGGGCACAGAAGCCTTAAAAACCCAGTAAAAAACTCAGATCCCGCAGGAAACGCGACACAGCAAAGGGATGGAAGTTTTTAGCATCTGGGGGTTTATGGAGGCCTCACAGAATCCCTCGGGATGGAATGTGAGCTGACCTTTGACCCCTGCAGGTTTCCTCCTCCCCGCCGGGTTCTGGATGCGGCTGGTGGCGGCGGCAGAGGTCCAGCAGGTCCAGCTGGGCGCGGCCGCCTCGCTGACCTGTAACATCTCCTACCTGTTCGACACCACCTGGCTGAGGCACAGGGCCGGACGCACCCCCGAGGTGGTGGCCAGCGGCGGCCTGCGGGAGGGCCGGCCGCTGCAAGGTGACTCCCGGGTTCTGGACCGGCTCCGGCCCAGCTCTAGGCTGGGTTCTGGTCTGGCTCCAGACTTGCTCTAGCTCCGGCTCTGGCCCAGCTCCTGGCCGGGTTCCGACTCCAGGCCAGGTTCTGGATGGGCTCCAGGTCTGGATCAGCTCCAGGCCAAGTTCTGGCCCAGTTCTGGCTCAGGTTTGGCTCTGGCCCGGCTCTGGCCCAGCTCCTAACCGGGTTCCGACTCCAGGCCAGGTTCTGGCCTGGCTACAGGCCGGGTTCTGGATTGGCTCTGGCCCAGCTCCTGGACGGGTTCCGACTCCAGGCCAGGGTCTGGATCGGCTCCAGGCTGGGTTCTGGCCCAGCTCCTGGCCGGGTTCTGGGTTCTGGATCGGCTCCGGCTCCTGCCCAGTTCTGGCTCAGGCCTGGCTCCTGCTCCGGCTCCTGGTCCCGGTTCTGGCTCCTTTTCAGGCCCAGCTCTGAATCGGATAGAGGCCGGGTTCTGGTCCCGGTTCTGGCCTGGCTCCGGCCTGGCTCGGGTCCGGCTACGGGCTGGGTCCCGGCCCAGCTCCAGGTCCAGCTCTGGATCGGATCCAGGCTGGGTTCTGGTCCGGCTCTGGCCTGGCTCCGGGCTGAGTTCTGGCCCAGCTCAGGCCCGGTTCAGGCCCGGCTCCAGGCTTGGTTCTGACCCGGTTCCGGCTGATGGTGGTGTCTCTGCTCCCTGCAGGGTTCCGGCTCAGCCCCCGGTACTCGGTGGGCCTGGCCAACAGGTCTCTGGCTCTGAAGATCCAGCCCGTGGAGGAGGGAGACCTGGGCCTGTTTTACTGCGTCGCCATGGTGACCTCGCGGCTGGAGGTCGGAGCCGGGACGCTGCTGCAGGGTGGGTGCGTTCAGGGACAGCTCCGAGAGCAAAGCGCTGCCCAAGTATGTCGAAAGCGAGATTTACAGGATTAGATATTCAGACTCCATTAGCGGCTGGATTCTGAGAGAAAACCACAAAATGATGCTAATGTACCACTAACAGATGCACACAACAAATAAAAACAGAACAATACACATTAAAGTGTCACAAAGATGCACAAAAACAACACAAAAAGATGTTAAAGTGCCATGAAGAGATGCACAAAACTAACAAAAAGAGAGAAATATGCAAAAGAACATCACAAAGATGCACAACAAAAAGTAAACAAAGAAGTTAAAGTACCATAAATAGATGCACACAACTAAGAAAAAGAGAGAAATACACACAAAACTGACTCAAAGATACACATAAATTACCACAAATAAACACAGTCATTTAAAATATCCTCAGAAAGGAACCAAACAACAGTTATAACACACAAACATGCTGAAAATTTTTTTTTGTTGTATTTATTAAACTATCTTTGATTGTTTTGTCTTCTTTGTGTCTTTTTCTGGTAATTTGTGTGTCTAATGAGTTTCTTCGTTGTCATTTTGCCTGTTTTTGTGGTAAATTGGTTTTTCCAGGATCGTTTTGTTTCTTTTTGTGGTCATTTCCTGTCTGCTTGTGCTGGTTTTTTTTGCATTTTTGTGATGTTTGTATGTCTTTGTGTTGGCCTATTGTGTATCTTTGCGGTCATTTTACATCTATTTATGTTTGCTTTGTGTTTTTACTGTGCAAAAGAACAAAAATAACTTTGAATCTTGGGTAGATTTACGTCTATTTGTAGAGTTTGGGGCTTTTTTGGGGTGCTTTTTTAAATAATATTTGCAGGAATTAGATGTACTATGCGGTTAATGGTCATGCTGAAGTTTCAGGCTGGTTTGTGTGTCTGTGCGTCTGCAGCCGAGCCGCCGGGCCTCCAGACCCCGGGCTTCCGGCACGCCTACTGCGTGGTGGTGGGCTCCGGGCTGCTGGTCATGACGCTGGCCGTCTGCATCACGCACTGGAAAACCCGCCAGAGGCAGAGGGGGCCCAGCAGGAACCTCCGCCCATGAGGGCAGAAGCATGGGATGGTTCTTCCTTGAATTTCACTTCTTTTTGTTTCTTTTTTAACTTCGCCTCGTTTATTGTCATGAATATTTAGTATATTTTTACCACTTTTTGTCCATATAATAATGTAAACTGTGTCTGAGTGTAAATTTAAGATGCCTTTTCAACCTAATTAATTGTATCATTCTTCAGAATTAATAAAAGCTTTTGTCGCTTAAAGGTAATTTAAAAAAAAAATGTATCATATTAATTTGAACACTGAAAGGTTTTAGGGAGGACAAAGTGATTATTTTTAAGGTTTTTTTCAGAAAAAGCTCTTTTCTGATTTGTGCTTGAGTGAAATAACTTCCTTTTTATAATTTCATAGAAAAAAGTAGTTTAATGTAGCAAACGTTTTTATCCATGTGGGCTGTTTTTTTTCTCCTGGTGTTTTTTTCATCATGTAATATCTTTTTTCGCGCATTTTATAATTTTGTTTTTTAATAAACTGATTAATAGAACAACAATATTCACCACTTGTACGTTTTTTCAGGAAAAAATTTAGACTTCTTGGAAAAACAGGTGTGGAGAGTCGCAAAATTGTTATTTACTTTCTGTATAATTCTTTAACATTTTCTCACAAATTGGCTAAATCTTATATCAGCTATTCTAGACTGGTCGCATTTATTTGCACATGTGCAACAAATTGTGATGAATAATTTAAGCCTATAATGCCAAATGTATCATATTTGAGAAATGTTTTGCCTCTGACACCTTTTGCTTAAGTTCATGGTAAAAACTTTGCTCAAAATCCTATTGTACACAATCAGATATACCTGATAACAGGGGGCAGAAGACTACACAAAAAATTATCTTGACTTATCGCATAGTAATAAATTATTAATACTAAAAAAGTATTTCTGTTTTTTCTTTTTACATATTTTGTTAAAAGGCCAAGTAAGGAATTAAAAAAAAAAGAAGTAATTTTTTGTTTTAGTTTTATTCTTGGATCAGGCGTTAAAGGGTTAATAATAACTATTTGTAGTGTGTACAGGTAAAATGAAAAAATAAAATAAAAACCAAAAAAGTTACCGCCCGAACAGGGACTTGAACCCTGGACCCTCAGATTAAAAGTCTGATGCTCTACCGACTGAGCTATCCGGGCTCTGACGGCTGTGGCACAGGAGAGACAATATGGCTCAACACACATCCCGATGATGTTTTCTGGGTTTTGTTGCCGCCAGAAATACGAAAGCACTGAAAAATCAGTTCAAAATAATGTTTGAAATCGTGAAGTTAATGCTTTTGATACATTAAAGTCGTTAAATTAAAACATTTGCTGCCTTAAGCCTCCTATCCGTATCGTTCGGTTTACTAGCTGTTGTAGTTAGCTTTGCTTTTGCTAAAGCTAACCAGAACAGTCGTCATTTTCTCCCTTTATTTGTCAAAAGGGAGAAATGTTGTCAAAAAGACAACATTTAAAATGCTCCAAACACAACGTATTTTAAGTTTACGTTCTATTTTTCTTCTCATTTTATGAGGTTGTTTCAACTTGTCAACTGTTTGCAAAATTGCTGTGATTTAAACCAACACATCGAGAAAAAAAGGTTGTCAGGCCCCAGCGAGATTTGAACTCGCGACCCCTGGTTTACAAGACCAGTGCTCTAACCCCTGAGCTATGGAGCCTGTGCTGCACGTAGCTGACGCTATCCTGCTTTTACCAGCAACTTGTACAAGAAGGCAGACATAGGGAGACATAGCCTGTAATAAATCCATTTACTGAATAAGTAATAAAGCAAACTGTCAACTATATTGAATGCACAATAGAAACAGACGTTGGCCAATTAACATTTACAACTAAAATAAAGCTCACATGCAACATAAAATATTTAAACATACCCTTGTGTGCCTTCTGACCAAACGTTTAGCAGAAGTTATTGTCCATATCTTCTGGTTTTTAAAGTAAAAGTCACAAACTAACTTTGCTCTTGGATGTTGTAGCCTCCATTGGGGTGAATCTCTCTATTGGTCATGTACTCAGCACATGATCATGTTTGTTGCATGAGTCTAGCAGCAGAGGTCAGTATATCCAACAAAGTAAATCCCATTCTCTGTATTTATAAACAAAACATTATCAAATATGAACAAATAAGGCTCAGGTTGTGATGGAGAATATAGACACTCACGCTGACTTTCAATTGAATTCAACAAGCTTTATTATATGTAGCACCAGAAGGGCAATTTAAAACGGCTTAGAATAGAGCAAACTCTGTGTTTATCTCATAAAGTATTTTACATTTATATTTAAGTGTTTTTCTGCTAAGAAACTGCTTTTATTTGCCGTGTTTATTTGCCAAAATGACAAAAATTAGTGGTGGTTTGGCTGGTGTAGTAGCTAAATATTTCCACCAGGTGGCAGCATTTCACCACCGCCGCCATGACACGTCAACAACTTTAGGTCGAAGAATCCAGCAGAAGATAGCTTTTAAAAATCAGTTCAGCAGGGACATTTTGTGCTATTTCTCTTCTGTAAAGCGTGAAGAAACAGCGCGACCAGGATGGGATAAAAACATGGATAAAGAAGTGCTAAAAACTGAAGCTCAATGAGTAAGAAGCTTGGCATGAAACGCTCCAATGGCTTTGGGTGATCCCTCCCTAAAGTCCACGGGTGGGTTTCGAGGGCGTGGACAGAGGCAGGATCAGGGAGAGGACCGTGAGGGGGGAAAAATAAGCCCGTCCCTCCTTACTCATATCGGGTTTTCCTCCGTGGAGTGAAGATGGACGCCGAGGGAATAAACACGGACCTTTAAAGGAATCTGTCCCCGTTTATTTGGAGTATATCGTTTTATCTAAGAAGAAAAAAAAGGTGGATTTTTTTTCTGCTTTTGAGGAAGAGGGAGCGACAGACCGAGCCATGCTGGAGCCTAAAGGGTTTGCGGGTTTAATTAATGAATAAGTTTGTGCCAGAAGTCTTGGATTAGGAGGGGAGGACCAGGAGGATCGTATCAACAGGTGAATGCTTTATTTGTGTCCGGGGAAATTGTGAAGAACTGGTAATAATCCGCCCTGCAACGTGCACGCGGATGAGTGGGGCTGGAAGGGTTTTCGGTTTGGCTCGGAGGGGCCGATCCGGAGGCAGCCTCCGCGGACCGGCCGGACCGGTTTCTGCGCGCCCGCTCCGGCGTGTGGAGCCGCGGGGCTGCGCGGTGGGAAGCGGCCGGGGGGGGGGGGTGGCTCGGAAACCCGCCACCCCATCGGTGTCTGTCTGCACCCCCTGCCGGGGCCGGTTCTGCCCGGGCTCCGGGATCCAGCCCGCCGCGGAAAGGCCGTGAACGCCTCACCGGAGGAGCCGCGAAAGCCCGCCCGGGAGAGGCGACCTGCGGCCGGGAGCCTCCGCCTCCAGGCCCCGGGGCTCCCCCCGCTCCGGTCCGGGCTTGTTTTCGGGACCGTGATTCGCTTTCCCCCCGGTTAAGAAACGCTTGGAGCCCGGAGCTCCGCGGCCGGCGGAGGGAGCCGCCTCTCCCCGGTTGGCGGCACCCGGCTGGCGGCTTTTATCCGGGGCTCCCTCGGCCTGTTTTTCTGGGGCTCTCACGCGGCCGGTTGAAGCCCAAACCCGGGATAAAAGCAGCCGTGTCCCTCCGCCGACCGGCCGGTTAACCTCCACCCGGGCCGCGTCTCCCTCCGCAAAAACAAACAAACCCCCCACTCTCCTCCGCTCACAGCAGTCTCTTTGTGTTTGGGGGTGGGTGTCCCCCCCCCTCCAGGGCCGACAGCAGCATGCTCCTGGCCTCCGCGGTGGTGGTGTGGGAATGGCTGAACGAGCACGGCCGGTGGCGGCCCTACAGCCCGGCCGTCTCGCACCAGATCGAGGCGGCCGTCCGGAGCGGCGACGCCCGCGGAGGGAGCGTGGTCCTCGGCCAGGTCGACAGCCGGCTGTCGCCGTACATCATAGACCTCCAGTCCATGCACCAGTTCCGGCAGGACACAGGTAAGAAAGACCGCCTGACCTGGTGGGCTGCTGTGGCTTTGTTATGCCCCCCCCACCCCCCATGTTTAAAGATCAGGGGAAATAATACATGTGTTTGGATGCAACTTTTGAGCCCCCAAAACGAGGCCACTGGCTGTGGACCTGCGTCCAGATCAGGCTTAAATCCAGAAAAGAAACCCAGCCTTTTCTGCTCTGGGCTCCAGCAGCCGTCCGCCAGATGTTGGCTCGGAGTCTATGTGGGTCAGCATGGAGGAAATGTGCAGTTTGGGGAGACGAAAACACCCCCGTATGTGTGTTTTTGTGGCCTTTTTTGTTCTTTTTTTTTTAACCAGGAGAGCTAAAAAGGTGCAGAGTGTGCACCAGGAACTGATGTTTGTTTGGGTTTTTTGGGGGCGAGAAGAATCAAATGTGGGAGTTTTCTGACGTGGTCGTGGTATTAAACTGGGTAAAGTCTCAGTGGCCGACACATCTGGGCTCGTGCTTGTTCTGGTTCGGGGTTTGAGGCTTAAATGTCTCCATGTCTGGTTTGTTTTCCTTTGGATTAAGGAGTGGTTGCTGGTTGCAGCTCGTCTGAGCAGTTTAATGGGATTACACCCTTAATAATGTGCTTTGCTTTATCTGCTCTGGCCTGTGAGGGTCCAGCTTCTCTTCAGAGTCAATGAAAGTGGGTGATTTTGTTCATCTCATCTGGATCTACTGACCCAAATTTCACCAAACACCCTCGGATAAGTGGCTCCATCTCAACTGTAACAACTTTCCTTGGTTTCTGCCTCCCGAAAATGATATTTACTCAAATTCCTCCCATTTTAAATGACTCACTCTTTAGGAATCTCAGCCTAAAATGTGCAAATCAAATGTTTGCCACATTTCTTGGATAGTGGCCACATAAAGGCTTGTGTATTTACAAAGCTACACCCTCTTTAAATAATAAAAAACAGGGATACTTTCCATAGAAATGCCCTGAGAAACTCTGGTTTTCCTGCTTTTCTCTGCAGGAAAATAGTCAAAAGCTCAAAATGAAAGTGAAAAAAGAGCAAAGCAGCAGCTGA